GGTCATCATGGCTACCATGTGGATCCTCTGCAACATCATTCGTAACATACATGATAATTCCATTATTGGTGGAAGATGTTGTGCCCAAGGCATCCTCATTCCCGCACTGAACAACAAGAGTCTCAATCGGATTCAAAAAGAAGGAACATCACTTCCCCAAGGAACGCCACCGAACACCACGGAACAACTTCCTCTGAGGCTCACCCCCAGCGCCACCCTATTGATCAAGGCGCAAGCGGCGCGTGCTCGGCTCGGGTCTCCTGTTGGATTTCCAGTTGCTACAGAAAGCAAAAGAAGCAAACCAATCACACAATAGTGTTAAGGTGTGTAACACCCCAGAGTTTCCGTGCTTGCTGAAGACTGAACAGAGGTACTTGCGCATCACATCCATCGCACATGTCGCACATTTACTTGCTATAGTCAGCGGCCCTCAGCGACGACAGATCGAGCTTCGTGACGACAAACTTTCCCAGTTGTTGACTCGTTGACACAGTTGAGACAGAATAGTGCATAGTCCATGCGGGGGTTGGGTCAACGCAGAGTGCCATTATTTTGCTGTTCACTGCCTTGTAAATCCGCAGACTACGACGTACTGTAAGATTGGTGAATGTTGTGTTATTTTTAATTTATATATTATAGATCTTGTAAATATATATATATACGATACGATATGTTGTATCTTTAAACCGTGATGAGCTTGCAATGTGTGAGCCATCAACATCCTGCATTCACCTCGGACCCTTTTCAGAAGCGTTTCACACACCTCCTGGGCAACCCGGCTTCGTCCATGTCTACCTCAAGCGGTTTTCCCGGCTTCGTTGAGGACGCACATATGTTTGGTAGTGAACTTCTTGGTGTTTTCTGGTGGGCCTATCACCGAGTTTCCAGCCTTCGAGATACCCATGTTCGACCACGTTTGGTATGCGGAGATGTGCCAGCATGCCATTTGCTAGTACATGTTTTGCGGGCTGTTTTGCGTTGATCAACCCCCATGTTGATGATCAACCCCCACCCAATTTTTGGTCTGGAGGAACACCGGTTTTCCAGCTCCACGGCGTTGGCCGATTTCTGCACGCAGGGCATTTCAGCCGTACCCGACGAGCCAGTGGAGCCAGCGGCAGAAGAAGGAGGTGAAGGAGACGCGTTACCCTCAATAGAGAGAGCCATGGCTCTGACTCTTACCCCTCAATGATGCGAGATGCGTTTCATTTCCTACTATCTGGATGTTTGCTCTTCAACATTGAATATATATATATATATTAGATTGAATTGCTGTTCCAAGTTGTACACAAAAGCAACGGTATTTGTATGCGTTTTGGTATTTGGATATCCTTGCATTTCTTCCCCACACCCTTCATCGGACCACACCACTCGAGTGGTGTATGAAACCCGATCAGTTGGGGTGGGCACGGTTTCAGGGGTCAATCTATACAAATCTTCCAGTCTCAGAGAGGTGGTGTGATCTGCTGTGCCATCCCGGGTTCCCAACGTCTCATCGAAACGCGCACCAAGCGAGTTTGGGAGGGAGCAGTGAGCCCAAACGGGGTTTCTCCACCCACTTCCAAGGAGTGCCCTGTTTGCAGACCTATAAGTACTAGTAGTGTGGAGATGTCCATTGGTAACCCCTTGGAAGCAGCTGGCATGTGCCTCCTCGATTCTGTTTTTGGAGCCCCTGGAACTGCTGGGCATCACCAGGAGCCGTGGAACTGCCACCGGCACCACCGGCGGAGTCAGCGGACGCGCCCAAATGTCCACGGGGGTGTGTCATGGTGACTTGGTGGCATTGACGGTGTTTTCTTGTAGGCAGGTGTTCCCTCAATTCCGGATCAATGATGTCCAACTTTAAACGCAGGGAGACCAGGGAGACAACAGTTAAGTTTGTTCTTGTGATTTTGTTTTGTGAATCCTGAGTGGTGTACAACCTTTGTGGGAGGAGGCCCCAAAGCCGCATCCATAGAGCTGCAGTTGGAGACGGCCGTGCTTCTTGGAAGTCGTTCGGGTGATGATTGTTTTGGTTGTGTTGAAAACGTATCAGAGATTATGATGATCCAAGCAGGTGTGTGCCCGGTCCGATCGTTGTCCCACTTCTTTGTGTTGCGGCAACGGACAAGGGTTGGGCAATAGTTGCCGATCTTACAGTTGATTTGGCAACCACAGTTGTCCTGTCGAGTTGAAGAGGAATATTGACAATTGTTGAAAGTAGGAAAATTGAATAAGTTCAGCGGGATCAGTTTACTTTGCTGGTCTTCCATGTTTTTCCATCTTCAGGAGTGAACCAGGGTACGTGCTTTGAAACTCACGTCCATATCTACAGTCCCAAAGCAAAGAAGACAGCCCACATGGGTCCTTTGCTGGTGTTCTCCGGCGTGCACCACTCACATGTGAATGGGGAAGCCACCCAATCACATGCCACTGGTCAAGGGACACCGGCGAAAACACCTCCAGCTAGTGGCCTTTTCCTGGGCCTTTTCTGAGGCGACAATGCCAGTGGAGGAGGAAATTTGGTGTGACCGCTGCTCAAAGGCGGCTTCGAAGGGGAAAGTGCTGTCGACACGTGGGCTAAGCCGATCTTTTGAGCCAACAGTGCCGACGATTGAAAAACAAACACGTTGCCGAGGATTTTTTCTGCAGGTAGCTTCAGTTTGGGACTAACGAACGTACCGATGGAATGGAATGAATGGTAGCTGGACAAACCATGCCTCAGAGTTCCTTTCAGGAACGCTCTACGTCAGACCGTCGCATCCGCAGGCGCTGCCAGTAGGCACCAGCGCCTTCAATTGCTCGGGGTTCCCAGGATGGTCGATAAAGGAACATATCGGGGTAGTCTCTTATATATGCAGTTTGTTTCTTCGTGCGCTTTGCACATGCTTGCCTTCATGATGAATATCTTTTACAATCGCCTAGGGGAAACATTTGGCTCTAAATCAAAACTGTTCGACCGACAAATTTGACACTAAGTCCCATGCAGCAGCCACTCGTTCCATTTCTGGTCCTGAGTATCTAAATATCTAGGTATATCTAAAGCCCAAAATGCCCCTGGTAATATCTAGGTATATCGCTTAGTAAGCATGTTGCCCTGTCTTAGTTTTTAGAGGCCATTGCTATATATATATATAGGTTGGAGGCCATCGCTATATAGGTTGGAGACCATAGCTATTAGATGTGAGGCCATGGCTACATATATAGATTGGAGGCCATTGCTTCTAGGTTCTTTTTTGGATCTGTAGTTTTTACATTTTTCTCTTCTTGTTGTTATTGTTTTTTAATGTTCAGGTCAGGATTGCGACTACGTCCAGTGCCAAGGCCGGCAGCTGATGTCCCGGATATTGCTGGCTGCATGTTTGAAGCCGTGTCGTAGAGAGAGAGAGAGAGAGCATGATAGGAAAGCTTCCACTCATTGACAACGTAAATTCCTTGTACATTATAGTGTTTATTGTTGGCCGAATTGCACAAGGGGGGCGAACAGTTCGTTGCACTACGTACCAATCCCCCATGGGGATGTGTGGGGCCATCCGCCGGCAGTGGGCCGGTCTGCTGAGGCTGTAGTGCATGAGGCTCAACAGAGCGGCCGAGTGAGAACGGGGGCGAAATGGCCGAAAGCAAGGGTGGGTCGAGATCGATACCAGTGGTGAGAGCGTCCGTCCAGCTTCCTTCTGCAACAGGCAGCGTCCTTCATACTCCAGGTCGTTGAACGCACTAGTATCAAGCGGACTTGGTCCGTTGAAGAGAGGAATCTTCAAGTGAAGTCTAGGGTGTTGAGCAACTTTAGCCTAACGTTCTCGCAGAACTAATCCATCCATTTCACAGGTGTGGACGGTTCTAAAGCTGCGGGTTCTGAGTTGCAAACGTTTAAACTCAAATAGCCGCCAAAGATAACTGTCTCGTTGCCTTTGTTCCATATCCCCGAAACATCCCAAAACACCATACAGAGTTCACTCCACTTCGATTCTGTTTCTCCTTCCGCCTCTCTTGACAGCAAGAAAAAGCACTCCCCACCATCTGGTGGGGCAGAAAGGCGGCGACCTTTGGATCAGCCCAGTTAGCACATGAACGTTTTCGAAGCTGTCCAGGAGTCCAGCTGGCTTTCCAGCCCGCCCACGCTTGACTCGAAGGGCTCACCATGGCAAACCAAAGAGAGCCAAGACACCCTTAGATCCGTTAGGCAAATCAACCATCTCGAGTCAATCTTCAGGGTTGATGACATATCCTGCTACATCAAGCAGCCAGATTTGCTACACAATGGTTCCAGGATGTTTCTTGTCTTCGTCACTTGCCCATCAGAACACCTGCCCAACGCGTTGTTCATTACTTTCTTTGCCCACGCGTGTCTTCCGGCCGCTGGGCCGGTGGTGTACAGCTTCACCCTTGATGGAAAATGGAGATTTCGCTGCGGTCCTCCCGTACGCGTGCAAACCGTTGGATGGGCGAGCCGCTGGTAGATGCACGATTCACTTTGTAGCATCAAACAATAACAACTGGTGCCTTCAGAACCTCAGGTCAGTAGAAGAAGTTGTTCTTCAGTACTAGGGCAGTGCTTTCGTGGACATGTTTTCCAAGCCCACCTCGTGCGTGTTTGTTGTATTCTTGTCTTTATTGTATCTACGTTAGATGTCAAATTGTGTTTGTATGGGCCAATGGGGGGAGAGAAAACTCCATCAACGGTATAGTGTTTGATATGGCTCTTGGCTTCTCCGACTACGTAGAATGTTGAGATGCCAATGAAACTCCATGAAACTCCACTCCCTCCACCAAACTTGGAAGCGGACAACCCCCTGTTTGCAGAGAAATATGGTCTTTCCAGAAAGTTTCACTTCCATAATTGTTCCAGGGAGAGTATTGTGTACGTCTGATAATGTTTAGTTATATAAGTTAAACCAGGCACATCTTACATCAGATACACCTATTCCCTGGTGGAAGCTTCCGCTTCTTCACACCACGCGCGTTCTGCCATCCATTTGCTTCACCGCCAACAACCGCCTTCCATCCAGCCCCCTTCGCAGGTCCAAGGGACACCTCCCTTGGAACGCTCCTTCCACTCCTTTGACCTCATCGGCAAGTGGGGCTTTTGCTTCGCAGGCTGCTCCCGTCAAAGCAGGCGAGGGCGCGCGCGGTCCCCGGAGCGGGTTGGACGGGGTTCCCACAGGTTACTGTAACTGGTTTGAGATGGTTTGAGGATGAAACAACAAGGTGCAGGACCAAGCAGTAATTAGAGTTGGTGTCTATTTAGAATTGGTATATGGTTGTTACTTATTTATGATATGGCATCTTATAAATGAACAAAGACCCAGTAGGGTGTGAAGGGAGAAGTCAATGTCCAAACGCGACTGTCCAGGGCCTGACCTGTTGCCTGCATTTGTATATTTGTGTCTCCTGGAACTTCTGGATATGTTGGCAAAGGGGCGTGCCATTGGTCCTGCCCATCTCCAAGTTGCTTGGTGACCGTCCAGCTGACTCAGAATGTTGTTCGGCGTCCAGCATATTTTCCAACAACTGTTGGACAATTCAAGTATTTGATCAATTGTGTCAATTTTGTCAAAACAAGTTTGTCAATTTTGAACTGTATATTTCTTCAATTTCTTCCATTTTGTCGGAATCTCGCATCCACCGAGAGCGCAGCAGCAGTGGACCCTCCATTCAAACCCACATCTCCAAGCACTTTGAGGATTACAGGATTCCCAGCGCCAATCCATCTTTTGACGGTTGACCGTATCTGGTCTCTCTAAACCGCCACATACCGCCGTACCGCCACGTTGTTGGTGGCACTCACCCGTCACGTCCAAACAACTCCCACGACCGTCACCGTCACGTCTCGCGTTCGCGTTCGCGTCGCGTCCGGTGTGACGCCGACAGTGTGAGCGACTTGTACATTTTGGACGTGCCGAACATGCGCTGGGCACGACCGCTCTACGAGGGACAGGCGATGTGTACGTCGGAGTGGGATCGCGTTCGTGTGGGGGGGGCGCGAAAAAGTGAGCATGGAGGGGGGAAGGCCCTCAAACCAGGGAGCATGCAAGGTGCAAGAATTCCCGATCTTTAAAGGTCATTATTCTTAGTCCATTAGAATCCATTAGAATTAGTAGTGTTCATAATGTGAGTTGTGTCCTTATGTGCACTCATGTCGATGCGTTCTCTCATTATATAATGTGATGTTATATATTGTGATGTACGACCGCCTGACCACCTTGAGGGCATCTCATTCCACACAGCTCCTTCGTTCGCACCTTCTTTGGATGGGGACCCGCCGAGCTGCGAACGTCAGAGAAATCCCTGCTCACGTGGGCTTTTCCTGAGGCTCGTGCAGTGTAAACGCACATATTCAAAAGCAGGACTCCACTGGGATGCATTGGCCATTTAAGAGTGGGTGGCCGATTCTGCTTTTCAGAGTCCTAAGCAGGGTGGGCTGGGATCCAAGCAGTCAATGTAAACCAGCACCGGTTGAGTGCAAGGTGTCACTTGTGTGAATGTACTTCTATTGGAGCACAAATAGATGCTGCTTTGCAGACCGACCGGCCGACCATTTTTGTTGTTTTATTAACAATGGGTCAAATGATATGTTTAGGAAAAGGTCAAGAATGGATCCAGGCAGGAAAACACTGTACAGCAGGCCAGGCTCACGTTGAAGATATGGTTTCTCCACACATGTCAAAAACAACGTGCGTTTCTCACCTGGTGGGAGAACAGAGTCGATCGGTGCCCAGACCGAGCTCGCTGGGTCAGGTCAATTGCAGAGGGCATGCCTCGTCGGTGCTGCATGACAAGCTTATTGTCTTCGGTGGCGTCAGAGATAAGGCAAGTGGCGTGCATATTTCGGATATTTGAGGGAGTGGAAGAGTTGGCAACGGATGATGAACTGCAGGGTTTTTGGTCAATCACAATCTAATTCAGCAGCTTGCTGGTTGGTGACCCTCAAAACGTTGGTCCACCCAGATTCAGTCTTTCAAACACGAGCTGTTGGTTAAGGATATACCGAATCCACGGTCCAAGGACTGCAAAGACGTGTGGTCTTTGCGTGTCTTTTGAATCCACATGTTCAGGTCATATAACAGGCCTAACGCAACTGACATCTAGACCAAAGAGCACTGAAGAGCTGAGATGTTAAAGAGATTGTTGAAGGACATCTTGAAGAATTCGATCGCACATTTGGGTAATTGGGGACCTACAAGTGAGTTTAGCCACGTGACTGGTCCAAAGGCATTTTAAGTTGGTTTCAGGCACTGGTGAAAACTTTGTTGGATGGGGACAGTGAGAACAAGATACGTTTAAAATCAATTAAAAAAAACAAAAAAAACAAAAACACATGGTTCAACCAGTATCTAAGACATCTAAGGGCCTTCAGGGAGGAGATAGCCTCAATTTTAAAGATTACCCTACTTCAGGATTTTGGTTTGGGCTTCCTGTCCAGCCGTTGGCGGCATTGGTCTGACTTATCCTGTTGTCCGGTATGAGTTCTGTTATACTCTTGTTTCGGCTGCTTTGGCAATGGGCCTAATGGGCCTGATTCTTGTAGGTCTCACTTCGTATGAACCTTAGCGAGTTTTGTTGCTCCCCCTTCCGGCGGTTGACTCAGTGTAGAGGGCAACGGTGAAGTGGACACCCTCATGTGCAGCAAAACAGAAGAAATAGCATCACTTTTAGGGGAACATTACATTTCCGCGCACAAGTAACAACATCTATGCATGCCCCTTTCGCAACGGTGCCATCAAGAAAAACAATCGCTTCAAAAGACATGGAGCAAGAGGTCGTTGCACATGTCGGTTCTCCTTTTTCCGCCTGGCATTACTTGCATTTCAACATTCGAGAGTCTCTTCCCCCGGAGACCTCACCCTTTTTGGCTATATCGACTCTGGCTTCAGACCTTGGCTTGGTGGGGGGGGTCTCCCTGCGACTGCGACAGTCCTCGGCGCAGGTGACTCAGTCCTCGAGAGGAGCACCGGACGTGGAGTTCGGGAACCAAGTCCTGGAGCGTCCAGAGGGGTCCACACACCGAAGACACTTGGACCGGTGCCACCCCTCAGGGTCCAAAGGTCGGGGGGGCCGGGTTCAAGGATTTCGATCAAGCAGCTTCCTGCTGTGCCCCAGCACTTCCTGCCTCATTGTTAAAGTATAAAATGTATGCAGTTGAAGGCTGAGTGGCTGAAGTCCTCTTAGACTTGGCGGGGGCCCACACCTGACGAAGTTCTTTGGGTGGCTGACATCCGTTCCGTGGTGTGTTGGACCTCCCGGCCGCTTTTTTTTTATGTCGGACCCTCCGTTGGGTCCACCAGGGGTTTCGCTGGTGCCATGACCGCCATAGTGAGTTCATGTGTTCATCTATCCCCAGACACGACCCATGAAACTGCCATAGGACTGTCGCCCCAGCCAGACCCCCCTCGCACCACCATCCCAACTGAATGTCGGCATATATGGCAGTCCCATGGAGTCTATGGGTATAGATCACCACCTTCGGGTCCACTCTCCCTTGTCTTCCGAGTTCTTAATGGGGCGAACCAAGTTCTAATTATATGTTGCATCAACAGGAAATAAAATGAGCACCTGAAGGACTGCTGCACTATTTATCCCTAGACTGCTGCACGGATGCCTTTGGCTAAGACATGAATAGAAATGGTATGACATGGTGCTCACCTATTAATATTTACTGTACCTGCTAGTAATTAGTCCAAAAGGAAAATCAGAAACACCACAAGACATGTCGACAAATTGAGAACGTGCCTCGCATGCGGCCGTTTGATCTTGTTTGGGCGGGGCCCTTTGAAAGGAATGCGACGTCGCTCTCCGTCGGTCGGTCCCACGGGGTGTGTGGTGCGGAGCTCAGGTCCCACATCTCCAAGAAGCTTTTCTTCCTCAATGTCTTGGAGGCCTCATTTTCAGCACGGGCACTCACGACAATCCTCTACTCAACAAGCGAAATGGAACTTGGTGAGTGCAGAGTGCCAGATATCCGAGCAATCCGACTAGCTCCGACCACTTGTTGGCTCAGAAATGGGGTCAGTTTCCCATACGAAGAAGCAGAACTTCTACATGTTCTCATGTGTGACCGCCTGTGCCACCGGTTTCCCAAGTGGTTTCTGCCACCGAAAACTAGAGGCTCCTTTGTTCAAGACGCCCTGGAAATGGACTGTGATCCAAGTCACTGGGATGGTAAACTAGTGTATCTCAGGGCTCAAATGACAATAAGATGATCGGACTCAGACGACAACACCATATTAGGTACCTTTATAGGCTATAGGCCACAACATTTCAATGCCCTTCGCCTCATAGGAGAGGACGGCTTGGCTTTGCGATGATTTGCACGTCCGTCACGTGTGCTTGAGCTTCGCGATGACACACCAAAAGCGCCGCCCAAACCAACACCGCGAGAGAGCGGCTTACTGAGTCTAAGCTCTTCGCAAGCTCGCGACCGGTTCCTTCGCGTGTCGCGCGGTCGCACGACGATCGCCATGGTCGCACCAGGTGAAGGGCGGAGTGTCCGAAGGTGACTTCAAGTTCAAACTCGTGACGGTCGGTGACTCCGGTGTCCGGACTCCCAGTGGTCAGTGATGGACCCCGAGTGGATGGGACGTGATGACGTGGAAGGTCCCCAGGTCTGTCGTGCTCAAAGGAAAGAAAGCATGTGACGCAATGCATTTGTAGAGACACAGCATCATTTTAAGCATTTCTAAGCTTGACATGTTTTTGTTGGCAACATGTGGCAATTCCCAGTTGGGGAAGGTGGGTAAAGCAAAAGGAAACAGCCACAGTTGCCGGTGTGGGACATGGATACAACTTTTTCCACAGCTCGTGCAGCCCGTTTACAGATTCTTGGAGCAGCAGCGAAGGCTGTTTTTGAGGGAGACGGTGCAGTCTATTGATGGGAGGCGGAATGGAGGGCTTCAACAGCTGCAGCCAAGTTTGAACAGACAAAACATCACAGACCATTGTTTAAATTACATGTGTTATTTTGCTGCAATGTACATGGCTATGTCCACAAGCTTCTTTTTGGGGTTGTTCAACAACATTGAGATTCTGTTGTTCAAGCTGCAGGGGCGCTACATGAATCGATCTCCGCACGAAATTCCTTGAGGTTCGGAAAGCAGAAGCCGAGACCCGCCGAATTCGGCTAACCTGGATGGTTGGACCCGCCGAATTCGGTAAACACCACCGCGCCGCGGAAAACCGGTCGCCACCCAGGTCGGGAAGTCCTGCCTGCTAACGCGCTTCGTGCAGGAGCCGCGGGTGGTGCAAAGCGAGGTGAACAGAGGGAGGTGAGAAGTGAAAGATGAAGGGGCTCCTGATTTGTTGAAGCTTTTTGGATTGAAATACATTGTTTTGTGATGTTTTGTGTGACCAGATTGCGCGTCGAGAGATCCTTCGTCAATCTCTTTGTTGTTTGAGATACTTAGTGAGATACTTAATAAGGCAATATCTATGGAATGATGATGTAACATTGTAAATAGGACTGGGTTTCTTGGCTCTTGCTTGTCGTTTTCAATGAGCACCCACCTCACCCGCCGCATCCGCACTTGTATTTTTGCTCTGATGAACAACTTTCTTCGCAGGACTACTATTCGGACTGCCACATCTCGACCATCGGTGTTGACTTCAAGACGGTGCGGAAATTCATGTCGACGTGAGATTCGGGGTGAAATCCGGTTTGCCAATCATGGGTTTCTTTCTGGTGACAGATCAGCCAAATGATTTCCTGCATGTAGTCTGTTTTGCTTGGAATCTCTTGGAATCATACCCAGACACTCCATGGGACTGCCATATATGCCTACATTGACCCCCAAAACCACCCCAATGTAGATTCAGAGGCAAACGGAAGGGTAGTGCACAGAAAGTGTTTTGCAAAAACCTGTTCTACTAACATCGTGGAAGGCGCGGGACATTCGTAGAACCCAAGGCTATTCGTGGACAGTTCGTGGAATGGTGGGCCAGTAGGAGAACTGACTGCAACGAAATCCCAGAAACCCTCGCAGAACTTCGTGGAAGGTATTTTTGGTGCACTAACGTCGTATAAGCGATTGTTGCTGACCCCTTTCTCCACACACCCTCCATTTAGCCTTCATAGATGAATATGTCATACATGGAGTGTCTGGGATATTTGGCCAACCTCGGCTCCGGACTCGCTGGAACGACGATTGGTTGGAAGTCTCAGGATCGGATCGTTGGACGATCGTTGGAACGCGAGCGGCGGTCAATCGGTCATCTTGATCAAAAAAAACGTCTCAACAAAAAGAGGCCCACTGACTGGGGGTCAATCTGTGAAGTATATAATAATTGAATTGAACGATGTATAATTGGTTGGCTCCATCACCACACATACATCTGCACGCTTTTGTCGCGAGATATTCAGAAACCATGCGCTCCAAAAGAACTTCCGTTCCCCCGCCTTCCCCCGTTGACCGAGACGACCTTCGCGCGATCGACCGTCCAGGTGGTGACCATGGTGAAGGGTCGCCTCGTGAAGTTGCAGCTCTGGGACACCGCTGGGCAGGACCGACGCCCGCGCGAACACGTCGTTTTGTGGAGCACGTCGTGTGGTAAGAGATGCGTTCCTCCGCGCCGAGGCGGAGAACGGGCAGGATGTGTTTTTTTCTTGGCTTAGCCGAACACCAGACCTTTCTGAAACACGGACGAGACGGGGCATGGTTGGGAGAATTTGGAGGTGTATGTGACCCGTAGAATACTGTAAAATTAAGATGAAACTTCATGAAACAAATCCCAACCCACTCCATGGGACTGGAATATATGCGGTGATTTCAGGGGTCAAGTGATTGGCCTCTTCCAGTCTTCGAGACCTGGGACCTCCGTGTGGTCGAACCTCGACCGCAGCAGGAGCGGTTCTCTGTGGTCACAGGCAACTACTACCGAAACTCGGATGGTCGGGGCCGCCCAGTGTCGGTGGCGTTGCAGGCGTTGCGCGAAGCTCCGCGTGAAGGGGGGGGTGTTGGGTTCCGCAACGGCACGTCGCAACACACCGGACGTGCCGCGTGCTGCTGATGCTGACGATGGTCCAAACAGGCTTTTTACTTGTACCGGTCCATATCTACTATGTCCATAGTCTGGTCCAGTTGCTTGCTGCCAACCTGGGTCTCATTTGTACATGAGGATCATGATACATTCCATGTCTTGGATTTGAAGAGGACCAAGGTTCCCAAGAAGTTCAGAGTCTACACTCCCTTCAAAGCCACGTAGACACACCCTCTCTATAGATGCCCTACATCTATGTTGCTGAGTAGAAAGTACCATGATAAAGAGTCGTCAATCTTCAACAACGTTCTATATGTGTGTTTTTTTTGGCGATCTTTGGCGAGTTGTTTCTCGGCCGTCGCCGGGGCTGAGATTAGAAAAAGGAGCAAGTTGGTAGACCTCTGTACTGGTTGGTATACCTCTTGACGTGAACAAATGCAACCCTTTGAGTATTTGGACCCTGCAAAGTATCTTGGAAAATGGGTGAACATGGGACATGATCCTATAATATCAGGTACTTTGTAGATGTTGCAGTTGGATTCTTGGGCTCCTGACCTTGAAACCATATGGGCTCAATCCGCTAAAACCACCTCGCGTCAGCCCAAACAACGCCAGAAGAAACGACTGAAGCCGCGACCAACGCCAGAACCAAGAGAGGTTAAGCGACCGTCGGACCTGCCGGGGTGCGGAACTGGGATAGGTGAACAGGTCGGGTCCTTCAATCTCAGGCTTCATTTTTGTGTACGATGCCACCAGCAGGGTCGTGCTCCTGGTTGAGCGAAGGATGCGAAGGGAGTTCGTTGACAGGGGTCGTCAATCTACTTTAATATCCCCAAGAAGAGGTTCATAGTCAAAAATGCTGATATGCTTTGCAAACACTTGCTTATAGTGGTGGTTCACTGATTCACTTGTCGTATGCATTTACTCTATATACTTATAACAAGGGAATGTTGCATTGTATCAAAGGTGGGTATTGGCGATAGGCCTTCCCTTAAGGCATTGTTTTGTTTCCGGAAAGCTACAATTCAATGAATACCACGTGAGTTTCAACATACTTGTATGGGAAGATCAGAGTATTGAATCAATTCACTGAAGATGTTTGTTTTGCCAACTGTCTCACGTCTTCGCCAGGTCCCTCTTTTTGGGGGAACAGCGAGTGACGTTTCTCGTTTCCCGTGTCTCGAGCCCGAGAGCCACGCGAGCGACGTCCCCAATGCGACTTGTCGAGTCATTGGGGTCCGGACGACGGACGGGGTCCATCGAATTAGACCACGAACGGATTGAACATTGGAGACCCGAGGGCCCCCCATATACTCCAGCTAGGGAGGTATGTTTGGTGCAGAGTCTCATGTCCGCGGGATGGCATCAACGTCCGACTCAACTCATCAAGGTCCAAGTTCTCCTGAACATCCAAGTTCATGCATGTGCATGCCTTACATGTGGGACAGCATGTTCTTAGTTCGGACATTCTGGAGCGACTTTGCATCTTTGGGGCCATTGGAAGCTGTGTGTGTGTGTGCGGGTGTGTGTGTTTCATTTGCGTTTTCACTAAGAGATGCTTATATACAGTTTTGCTCAACGGACAGATTTAAACATATTTAAACAGCATGGATTTTGCAATTGGAGGATTATTGCAGTCATGAAATAGAACAGATGGAGGTTGTCAAATGTTTATACCCACACGCTCCAAACAGATCCAAACAGCCCTTGGTCGGTCCCTTCCAAACCGGATTTGAGACCCCGGACCCCGGATTCGGGTCCGACCCCTCCATCTCCCAGACGCTCCATGGGACTGCCATATATGCCGATCAGTTGGGGTGGTGTTGGGGGTCAATGTAGGCATATATGGCATACATGGAGCGTCTGGGTATGATTATGAGGGTCCATGAGTGTTTGGGTAGTGTGGTTGCTCTTGCATCGATGCAGATCTTGCCTTTGACGACCGGAGTGCGTGGCTCTAGCTGCCATGACGGCTGAGAAAATGACGATCAAGACTCGTTCAAGCGGTTCTTGTGGAAGCAAGACTGCGAAAGAAGCAAGGTGGAAGTTTGAGGGAACATGTTAGCCAGAGAAAATGTTGGCTTGCAGATATGTTTCAGTTCAGGTCTCCATGTTAATTTTGCAAGATCTAGATGTAACAGTGTTCGCAGACATCTAGGACACAATCGCATGGCCTCCTAAAGATCTCTCAAAGATACGTGATAGTTCCGCCAGTGAGAAAAAAAAACTCGGAACTCATATAGCTCACTGTTTTCTGTTTCCTTTTGGGAGATCAATCTCAATCAGCTGCCCTTTTAGCAGCCTACATCTTACTGGAAAACCCCACCATGGTCCACCAGCTCATCAGGACACCTCGGTCGCCGAGCCTACCCTCGATGGCATGCCGGAGGGCGGACCTGAAGGCTCCGAGATCGGTGCAAAGCGGCGTTTGGGTCCACGAAGCGCGGAGAATTGTAGCAGATAAGGAAGATGAAGCGATTCATATCAGCAATATATAGATCTATAGATAGAAGTGGAGCGACAACATTTAACAGTGAATCGGTGGATCACTCAATTAAAACCCTTCTTTTGTTTGTACAGCGGTCTCCACCAGCCTCTCGTACGTAGTACCAGCCATCACTGGCCACTTGGCGCAGCGCCAGGAAGCGTAACGAGTCGCGCGAGCAGCATTCGTCAGCAGCTGCGGAAGTTGTCCGGGCCAAAGCACTGGATGTTGGTCTCCTTGGTGTCTTGCGGGTTGAGATTTGTGGGGGTTTTGCGGGTTAGTACCGTGTGGGAGTTGAGGTCTGGTTTTGTGGCTTTATCGTCACCAGACGTCCTATACCGAGGCTCCACGAGCGAGGCAATGGGAGCTTGTTGCGTGCGTGGAGGCGCCACGTGTGATGTGACCAGTAACGTGAGCCGGGCCCATTGAAGTCGTCACGGCACGTGTTTTCTGTGTATCGTGAAAACCCACTGGAAGTCATGAGGCCTCAAGTGGTTCCTCACACCAGTGGCATTGGTTCTGCTTTTATATGTTGATTCATGTTGATTCGCAGTGACGTTACATCAGTTCTGACCCACATGGACCGGGTTGTTCACCAAACAATATCAAGCTCAACACAATTGAAACCACCTCGCCTTTTCAGGTGTTCTTACAACATCTGAGACCACGCGACGTTTCAACCGACCCCCGAACCTGCGTCGCGCGACCTTACAGCCTTGTTCTTCGCCTTGTTCTTCAATCCCCCCCACCGCGACGAAGTCGGGGCGCCTCAGGAGCGAATTGGACCCCGACTTCTCCCAGAACGTGAGCCTCGAGGACGCGGGCGACGCCGGTGGAAGAGTGGGCTCCATTCAGCCGGACGCCGTCACGTCACCGCTTTGGTTCGGTTCGGACTGGGGATGGGTGTTAGGGCGAGGAGATGGTTGGACTAGGGCATAGTTGTTGTAAGATGTTGTTTTGTCATTGGATGTAATGAATTGACATACACTACATGAGAGCCCCTTGATGCAGAGATGACACGATCTCTTTTTGTAGCGAGTCAAAGTGTCATTCTGCAACAATTGGTCTTCTTATCAGTTGATCCTCACGTTTTTGATTGTCCGCTGCCCACATTTCACACACATTGACACACCTTTGTGCAAGTTCTCCGTACTGTTAGGATTTTCTCTCCAACCAAACAGCAACAATTCAGTATAGGATCCCATTAAGGGATCTCCCTGATTTACCACAATTCTGGCTGGAATCCTAAAGGGGAACATAGGGGAACATCATCTGTCAGATTTTGCTCGCAGAACCGTTCCGCAGGAGCTCCAAAGATGTGCAGTGAATCTGGGACTTCTGGGGGGGCGAGGCCCGTTGCCGTATGTCGCCGTGCTTACTGACTCAGTCCATGGAGTGATGGACCTCCCGAAGCGTTTCGTGCCCCCGACTAGTGTGGGATGGAGCAGTACATGCAGGTAGATGAAGAGATTACTCTGCCAAGCCCGATTTGTGTCACAGCCACATCCTGGACCTTCAAAGTCATCTCTTTGGAGTCTTTAAGTGACTCTTCAGGGCCTAAGGGACTTTAAGCTCAGATCTCAAAACATCTCAAAACTATTTGAAGCGCTTGGATTTGGTGTTTTTGTTTGAGCATGTTTGAGCTTTGATGACTTGCTGGCCTTTGGGATCTACAGAGTACTCCCAGCCCTGGGTGCGTTTCTGGTCCGAAGTTTGGAAGTTTTGGACTCCAGACCGGGCGGATTCTGCCTCCAGACCTAGGATCTGGATCCAAATCCCAATTACTTGGCAGGTATAAACAGCCTAGGGTCACGTTCTCTCCTCCAACGTCAAGAAAGGAGAACCTCGGACGTTGATGCTGGGTCGAAGGCCCCAGCTTGGTTCTTTGTACACTTATTGAAGTATAGTATACCGTTCTGTGGCCGATTGACGCTTTGTTGATATGTGCTGAGGGAGCCATCTCCAGCTATCCATTTCCATTTGCATTTTTTTGATATTTGTGACTCTTGGGAACATGTACTGCATGCTTCTCGCACCCCTTATCAACTCGATTGCACCGACCCTGCGTCCAGTTGACACTGAAGGTTGCAGGTGGCTAACCCGTCAACTGTCCAGCAAGTGCTCCGGTGCATTCGTTGAGGAATGCTGGGGATCCGAATTCGCTGACGGAACCTGTTTGGAGAAGCGAGCCCGTCGGCGTCTTCGTCCACGGACGCAGAAACATCGTCCACGTCCCAGACGGTGGCAGTGGATCAATGAAACCGTCGATGTGGGACCGCCACGATCGACACCCCACGTCGATTCATCAGGTTCTTAGTGGACCTCGACGGCGGGTCTTGTTCGCCCGTGCCAAGGGCCGTAGGGTCGACGTCGGATGTCAAGAATGTCGAGGCGAGCGAAGGAAACGTGGGAAGCCAGCAGCTGGGAAGCCAGCCTCATGGACGCTCATAGCCCTGGATGGTCACAGTGCAAGCCTTGTTCGCAGAGCACATGGCGTGCAGATTGGCCAAATCGGAGGGCCGCGAACCGACCAGAAAGAAGGGAAATAGACACAGAACACAACAGAACCCATTCGGGACAGATTTGATAGGTTTTACTTTCTCCACAAAAGTCGATGGGGGAATGGGGTGCAAGATGTCGGGATGATGAGGGTTTGTTTAGGTGAGAATGTAACTGGTGTTTGTCTTTACAAATTGGAGAATGTAACGGGCATGCACTTTTTTTTGAGCATAAGCAGAGTATATGCATCAGTCTGAAGCAAACAATATCGGTTCCTTTGACTCCACACTATGCAGGCATTTGACGGACGTGCGCAGGCGTTTATTCTGAAACATGTGTCGACACAAGGACGTCCGTTTGAACGTGTCGACACATAACAACAATACAACTAGCACACTAAGAGGATCTATGACCTCTCTCCCTCTCTCTCTCTCTCTGCTCCCAGCGGCATGAGCAGTCATGAATGCTCAAGAGGATACTTGTGTGACATCACTACTGTAGTGTGACACTTGGACTGGCATCTGTGTGTGTGGATAAAACCATGCATCACTTCGATTCAGAAGACTGCCATTGGCTTTGCGACGTTGACAGAGTCTCTCGGTCCGGTGCACGACAAAAGCGAAGAAGCAGCGAATGCTGGACAATTGGACTGTGTTTGTTCGTGAATCTACAGAGAAGATGTCGGACATACAGTGACAACTTTCATTGACCATCTCTCCATCTCAAGGGACCGCAAGAGTGTATCCCTGCACGGAAGAGTGAGAATCACATAGTCC